AGAATTGCCCTGTTAGTGGTTTGGCTTTTTTTAGCAAACAGATTGTAAAATTTAAATGAAATAAAAAGTTTCCTTTTTAAAAAATATGGCAGAATTTATAAATAAAATAAAATTAGATTAAAAAAGGAAAAAAAATAAATAAAATAAGTTTTTAAAAATTTAACAAGAAAATAAAATAAATAAAAAAAGGAAAAATAAAATTTCCCTGCCGTAGGACCCGAACTCGGATCTCCCGAATGGCACGCCAGTGCTCTGCTCACTCAGCCAATGCGACTGTTGAGGGAGTGCGCAAAAAATGATATAAGTACTTATTTGATTTAAAACTGAACGAAAAAAGTGAATCATGCCACACAAAGAAGCCGAAACTGGAGTCATACTTAAATTTTTCATTTCATAATTTTTGACTCTGAGAGGAAACATTAATTAACTGATTTAACGATCATTAGTTAAGTGCCTGTTAGAGCTAATTTAAGGAACGTTTCTGAGTGCGGCTGTAAGACCCTAAAAGTAAAAAAAAAATTTAAGTTTAAAATCATAAAATTTATTTAGTCCCCTTTCAGACACGTCAAGTCTTGCTTTCAAGTCTGCTCGTTCGTAGGCGAAGGAGGTGAGAAGAGAGGGGAAGAGTACAGATACCTCCGTACCGTCAATTCGTTTCAAGTTTTCTTGTCTCTTTTGATCTTTTCGTTGCTTCCCATTTAAATAACCAAGGATTTGAATTCAATTAAAGTTGACGCGTGTGGAAGCAAATAGAAAACAAAAAATTGCTTTCAAGACTTGACGTGTCTGAAAGGGGACTTAGTTACGTGCAAACAACTGTGAAGCTTCGATAAGTACGTATTCAATGTTGTATTCTTCCATCTCCAAGACAGCTGTTTTCTATTTTAAGGTTCCGCCAAAACAAGTGTTTATATTTTGATATTTTTTCTCTAAAAAAGGCTTATACACAGGTCGCTTCTGGTGATTGCAGATATCGGTTTTCGCAACCCTCAGTTACAGCCGGTGTTACCTAGGTATGTCCCACGCAGTGGAAATCGTTTCAACGCCAAGGAAATATCCGTTTGCAAAAATGCGGCTAGATGACACTCACGCACTAGATGCTATTGAAGGCCGCTTTACTTGCCCACAGTGCAATCGATCTCGGAAATTTTACTGCTACAATTGCTATGTTCCTGTTGGTAACGTTGTTGATTTCATACCACGTGTAGAGATACCCATCGACATCGATATCATAAAACATAAAAAAGAAATTGATGGCAAGAGTACATCTGCACATGCTGCTGTATTGGCAAAAGATCGAGTGCATGTATATGCCTACCCTGATATGCCGGATTATTCACAAATGGATGGCATTGTACTTATTTTTCCCAGCGCTAAAAGCCTAACTGTGCCGCAACTCTTTAACCAGCGCGTACGTCTAAAAACTGAAAACAATTACGGCTTGCCGAAAGGATACAATATTGGTACCATGTTGAGATGGCGGATAGATGAAGTGAAAGAAGAGCCAGCAGAAGGTGAAGAGTGCACAAAAGAAAAAATGTATACATATGACAACTTGCCTATAAAGCGTGCTATATTCATTGACAGTACATGGAATCAGAGTCGTGGTATTTATAAAGATGAGCGTTTAAAGGGCTTACCCACCGTTGTATTACAAAACCGTTATTCACAATTTTGGCGACATCAACGTGGTAGTCCTCGCTGGTATTTGGCTACAGTAGAAGCAGTGCATCAATTTTTGCTTGAAGTGCATGTAAATGCATGGGGTCTCAATCAGCATTATCGTGGATTAGATAATCTTGATATTGGTCAAGGTTTTTACGAAACTGCGCGCTTAGTGGATGCCGATCCAACAAATGTAGAACATGAAGCGCCCTACAATGGACAGTATGATAATTTACTATTCTTTTTTGCCAATATGTATGATATAATACACAAATACTATGATCATAATCAATTAAAATCATATCGGCGACCGATATAAAATGTCAAATTATTTTAATACATACTTATGTATTTTAAAACTAAATTACGGAGTTTAATTTATTTATTAAATACTAGCAAATATTTTTGTCTCGTTACTGTCTACCAAAACTCTGTGGACTTATTCACAAAAAAAAAAATTAAATAGATTTAAAGAGCTATATGAAGTGAGATGTTCAAAGAAATTTTCGGTTTATAATGCCTACTTTACAAGTAAAGTATTAACTAATAATTTTAGTTGCTGAGAGGGAGTAACAAAAAAAAAAATTCCCTAGACGTACCGGAATGACCCGGATTTTACCCGACAAGGGCTGTTGTTTCGGCGATCTAACCCCGTTTAGGTCGGCTAAATCCATCAAACGTTGTTCGACAATCTGGCTACATCTGCTTCGGATCCTTCTGCTCAGGGCTGGCATAGAGTCTAACCCAGGACCAGAAATTTACACCTGCTGCGTATGCCAGAGACGACTGCATGCAAACTCCACCTCGGTAAGGTGCAACGCCTGTGACGGGTGGAGTCATCTCCGCACCTGCTCGGGCCTACGTACGCACCGGCAATGGACCACGTCCTTCGTGGACCCATGTTGTGCGAATCGGATATGACACAACAATTGCCACACTAACGAACACAACAGCACCCTCGCACCTCTGGTCCCGTAAGCCCCGACAGGCTCTGAGCGGCATTCACAGGGAGTCAGTCTCGAGTTATGTAGACTTCAGACCTATGAATACCGTTATAGGCACACAACCACCTGACATCGACGAGACGGAGCTTCATCTGCCTCGGGAGACTTGAACCACAATAGCCCAACTTTGCTCTGACTACTGCAGCAGGTTAAACTCATACCTGATTATACGCAGATGTGCTAAATGAGTGTCCGGCATGCGGAGAGACACCCCACGAATCGAAACATGTCTTCGTATGCCCCGAAAACCCGACACAACTAACCTCTTTGTCCCTGTGGACCGACCCCATTGAGGCTGCACGCTTGGGGATTCCGTTAACTGAGCTTTGCGACAACGACTGAGATATTAACCCATCTGGGCGGGGTTGTTGTAGCCGCTACAACAACAACAACAACTCCTAGTCCCTCCGACAATCTGCTCGGTTTGTAAGTCCAGAATATACCGAAACGTGACATCAGTTAAGTGCACCTCCTGCCTTGGCTGGTGCCACATTAGGGCATGCTCCGGACTTCACAACACGTGTGATTGGACGAGTGTCTACGTGGGCCCTGCTGTGCTGCCCAGTCACACAAAGGTGCTACAATTCAAATTCAACGGATTTCAGAGCAAGATCGAGAAGATAACCGTCTTCGTGGGAAGGCATGGAATATTGATAGCTGCGGCCCAACGAACGAAGCTGCACAGCAATGCAATCTAGTTGTTGAGCTCGAAATATTTAACGTATATTTACCCCCTGTCATCACCTGCCCGGCAGGATATCACCCTGAAATTGGTGCACTACTCAGAGGTGAAAACCATATGGTAGTTGGCGACTTTAATGCGCACCACGGTCTTTGGCACTCAAGCCTGTCAAATGATCGTAGGGGAATACATCTGGCTGAGCAGATAGACTATTCGACATTCTGCACAACGAACGACGACGCACTCACCAGGAGTATGGGCAGCTGCTGGAGCTCGCCATATTTAAAACTGTCAGCGCTGGTCTGATAAACAGCGTGTCATGGCGACCTATGCTGACACTAGCATCAGACCGACTGCCCATAGTCATCTCGATTGATGAACCTGCCGACTTTACTTCCGCGGATCACCGAACCTATGTCAACTTCTCCAAAGCTGATTGGAAAGGCTTCGGAGATGTTTCTGAATGCAAATTTACTGCCCTACCCACACCAACCGACGTTCACGTAGGTGAGCGTAATATCCGCAGGGTTGTCACTGCTACCGCAGCCCGCTTCATCCCAGTAGGATGCATTACGGACCCCGTCCAAACTTCCCTGCTGAAGCGGCTATTGTAGCCGATAAGCGTGACAACCTTCTGTAGACCGATCCCGGAAATCCCCGTATCAGGGATCTCAACTCGGAAATTCGGCAGCTAGTGAACGTACATAAGCGGAAGAAGTGGGAAGAGCATCTGAAGACCTGCAACTTCGCCTCTGGTGTGAGCAAGCTGTGGTCCACCGTGAGGTCATTGTCCAATCCGACGAAGCGTGACGACAGAGTTGAAATATCTTTTGGCTACCATGCTTCGTCGGACCCGGAGCGATGCGCGTGCTATTTTAGCCTACAGTTTATACTGCATCCTCCGTCGGGCAAAGCCACACGTCGAGTGAGCAGAAGGCTGCACAAACTGCCAACCCCAAGTGCGCCTCTAGTTTTCACCAGCGGTGAGGTAAGGGTAGCCATCGGGCATGGCGCCAAAACGCCAACATTTCATTAAATTTTTTAAACAGGTGAAACCCTATTCGAAAACCTCTAAAAATATCCCTAATGATTAATCTAAACCATTTCTCAGTAATGAGAGGTTTCGCATGGTGTCGGTTTTCATTTCATCAAATTTCAAATCTCCCTGTAACTTCAAAATATAAAACCTGTGCACATCTATGTAGAATCCCAGTTCTTTAATTTGACTTCTCATTTTGGAAATTCGAAATAACGGTGCAGATGTGTTGACCTTCAAAAAAAATAAATGGCAACTCTAATTAAAAATATTATCAGCCTATAGTTTTCTTAAAACTCTTTCGTTTGACACTAATATTTCGATAATTCATTTATGTATCTTTCGTATAAGTAAAACAAATTCGACTTTTCAAACAGGTGGCAACCTCTTTAAAGGTATTTTCAAACTAAAATCTGATGAATTAAGTTGAATTTAATTTTTTAAGCACATGACAACTCTCGTAAATACAGTTTAGAAAGAAACTATTTTCAAACCCATTTCAATTGATACCCATCTTTTGACAATGCATTTAACTATTAAATAATTTGAGCTTAATTTTTTCAACAAAAAAAAGTAAATTTTCAATTTAAAGATTTCTTAACAAACGTTCTTTTGATAACCATATTTTAAAATTTCATGTAACTTATGTTTAATTAAACGAAATACCACTTTCAAAACAGGCGGCAACCCTCTTAAAAATTATTTTCGAACTAATATTTCCTTAAATATTTTTGGTCTGACGTTATAAATATTTTCAGTAACTGATGAATTGAGTGGAAATTCATTTTTTAAACACGTGGCAACCCTCCTAAATATTGTTCTTAAATAAAGGATTTTAAATCCATTTCCATTGATAACCATCGGTTAGTAATTCATTTAACTTATTAAATAATTTCAGTTTAGCCCTTTAAACTGGGCAACCCTCAAACGCATCAAAAATTTTCTAAATTGTCAAACTAAGTATTTCTTGAAGCTCTTTCATTTGAAATCCATCGTTAATATTTCATATAACTTGGGTATAAAATAGTTCAATTAGACTTCTCAAATAGGTGGCAACCCTATTCAAAATATTTCCGAACTACTACGTTAAGGTAATTCTTAAACCTCTTTTGTACGACACCCATATAGCGATACCTTATTCACTTACCAAATTCCTTTAATTAAAATTTAATTACATATTTTTAAACATGTGGCAACCCTCCAATACGTAGTTAATTTATAAAGCCTTTTCAAAACCATTTCGATTGATACTCATATTTAATAATTGATTTAACTTTTTAATTAACTTGAGCTTAATTTCTTAACAGGTGGCAACTTTAAAAAAGTAAACCCCCCCCCAAGTAAAAGTAAAATCCCCACCGTACGCCCTTTAATTTGGTACCTCACTTTTGAAAATCGAACGGACGGTGCGGATCTGAGGGCATTGATTTGTAAATAACTTGAGTTTAATTATTTAACAGGTGGCAACTCCTTTCGAAAAACAAAACTAGTTTGTACATCTACAGGCCAAGCGCTTTGATTTCACATCCCACTTTTGAAAATCGAGCGAACGGTGCAGATCTTGCTGCACGAAAAATGCCTTCGCGTATTATATACATATATAGATATTTCATAGCTCCCTCAACCACCAGAGGGAGTCACTACTGTCTCCTATGCTGACGATTACTCGATTGTGGCAGCTGGGAATAGAATTGATAACTTTTTCTCGAATGTAAACGGTTATCCCGCCGAGCTTTCTCGCTTCTTCACTGCAAGGAGCCTTACCCTGCTCCTACGATATCCTCGGCAACTTTATTCACTGCCATATAGCCTGTTTCTTATGAGAGCATTGTCAAAATCAATCACACTTTGTTGAATACAGTTTGGTTATAACCAAGGTGTATTAAGGAGCGTTCGACAAGACAAAAATTTGTAATAGTTTTCCAAATTTTTACTGGATGGCGTTCGATAACGACAAAAAATTATCCAACACACAAAAATTGAGAAGCGTTCATTTTGTACTGGCAAAATTTTAGTCAGCAAAAATTATCCAACACGAAAACATATGATCGCAAAACATATGGTTGCAATTTTTGTAAACAAACAAAATTGCATTTTCCGAGTTTTGGTATTTATATGCTTTTTGGCTGCCTGCTATGTGACTTTATGATAGCGCCAACTAGTTTTTACTTCTAGAAATGTTCCTGGCGAACATTGAACGTTCACTTTCCTTTTTTACCTTCCTTTTATTAGCTCGGGATTTAACTATGTAATATTAATGCGCCTAAAAGATGCAGCGATTTCTATTCTCAAGTTAAATACCTGATGACAGTACGAATGGCAATTATAATAGGGAGGTTTTAGTTTTTTAAACTATAATTTTTTCTTCTATGGAGGCAACATGAATTTCAGTTTGTTTACAAATAAAACATAAACAAAGTCAGCTGGTGCGTCTTCTTCTTCCGGTTTTTGCAAGTAATAATGGCTAATTTCCCGTTCGTTTACTTTTTTGCTTTTTCATCTCTTTGGGAGAGAATTTTCGCTTACTCTCTTGATTTTGATTGTTGGCTGGTGTTGGCTAATTTTGTTATCGAACGCAACTTTAAACAAGGTGTGATTGACACCATGTT